AAGAGGCTGTCAGATCCCCTGGAACTGGAGTTACGGACAGTTGTTAGCTGCCATGTGGGTGCTGGGATTTGAACCCAGGTCTTCTGCAAGAACAGCCAGTGTTCTTAATCACTGAGGCATCTTTCCAGCCCCAAGTGAAAGTATTTTAAAGTGCTGCCCACATGTTAATCACTACTTTCCTTTTAATAGGATAGTCATGAATATTCTTTATTCTTTGAAGTATCTCTCTACTGGATACTCAGAGCAGAAGTCTCCACTGTTGGCAGACTGCTCAAAAAGACCCCCGGTGTCAGAGTTATTGGGTAGGTTTGTTAAACTTGCAAATTCCCATACTCCAATCCAGACCACCTGCTCCAGGATTTGGGGGAGGTGACCTGCACTGCTGCCCCAGGTGCTACTGCTGAGCAGCACCAAACTGGGGCATGTAAAATGCAACTGTCCTCTTCCAGAATAGCAAATTGTTCTTCGGACTTAACGTCTTTGTAGCTAAGGTCTGTGGAGCCTTCAGGCTTCCCAATCATGAAATTGTCAAACACACGGAGAAGCTTTGAGGCAACGTTTCCAATCATTTGGAAACCTTTTTAAAGTCATGGTTGTTTGTGATTTTAATGTAAGGGACTCACTTAAAATGATGGAATAATTTGTATTTAGAACCTGGTACGTGTTGTGATTGTGGTGCGTCTCAAATATCCAAGGATACAACAGCAATCCAAAAGCTTAGACCAATATGTAGAGACACCAATAAGACACCTGTAACTAAAAACCCCAGGCAGGTCCCTCTCTGGGTTCAGGTGGGTCAAAGATTGGGATCCCAGTGAGAATTAGCTTATCCAGGCTAACCCTTAGCAGGGTCCTGCAGGTGGGACTTCTGTACACAAGTCTGTACACAGGAAATATTCCTCTAAGACTGGAAGGAGCTGAACTGAGGAAAGGGTTGAGACAAATGGAGACCCTCGAAGTAGTGAGGGAGATACTGAAAGAGAGATAGTTCGTATGGTGACTCACACCTGTAATCTCAGCACTTTAGAGGCTGAGGTAGGTGGATTATTGGGAATTCGAGGTCAGCCTGGACTATGGTGTGAGACTTTGTCCCAAAACAAACAAGGCAAAATAGAACTAAAGAGAGACAAGTTTGGCAAATGGGAACTGGGTCTACTTCAGTCCTTCAGAGACTGAGCTCTCAGAGGATAATGACAATCTTACTTTGCTCTGCAGTGGACCCCCAGGGGGGGTAGTGTGGGTAACTCCCAAGGAACAGAGTGTTAGTACCTGCACCACCAGTGGCATGGAGCATTTTCAAGTGATCCACTGTCATCTGTAAGACCTCAGCTTTCTCCAGCTTGGAAGAGCCCTGTGGGTACAGAAGACAGAGTCTGCTACAGCCTGTAGCTGATTTCTGTTGCTCACTGCCCTGCCTGTCCTACCTAGCACTCACTGCCTGGGTTTTCTCTCTTTACTCCCACTTTCCCATCAACTGGGCTGCTACTCTGTCCAAGCTCTCCAAATCTAAAAGATGCTCTCCACTTTGAATCTCAGTCCACCTGTAGGCTGCACTGTTGGGTTTCTGTCTTGAAATCCCTCTCCCTTGACTGCCATGAAATCCTTCTTCTGTGGTCTTTCACTTTGATTTTTGTGTGCCTGTCTCTTAAAATGTTCTCCCCTCACTCTGAAATGCTGTCCACAGAAAGTCTCATCTGTGGCTTCATCCATCATCACCAGACACTGTGGGATCCACCTGCCTCCTAGACCAGCTGTCCTGGGAATCTAGCTCTAACTTCAGCATGCCCAAGACACAGCACATCATCTGAGCCTCAACTCTTGCCCTTCCTCTATTCTTTCTTAGAAAAATATTTCCTAAGCCTCCAGAGCACCTTGGCTCCCACAGGAAACCTGAGGGTCGGACTCTCCAGGAGTCCCTTAAAGGTAGACATCAGGTCTAGTTCACAGCTAGTTCTGTGAAGGTTTAATGAGCATCTGTGGATTGACTGACTTGTTCTTACTGGCCTAAGCAAAGGCAGATGACCTGTGACCTGTACGTTGAGCAAAGGTTAAGAATCTTTGAGGCTGTCTCATTCAACCATCTGACTCTCCACTGTATGTTACCGCAACATGTTCAATGACACAACCTGAGCTGCCTGCTACCTTCAAAGAGCTCTGGAAGTGTCAGGAGACAAGTGACAGAGTCACATGCTCTATTTTTGCTCTAATATTTACTATTTATGTAGCAGAAGTTACATCACATCTCTGTGCTTCAGTTTTCTTAACTGTGCAATGCGTAAAATAATCCCTGACCCCTAGAATCACTTTTACGATTTAAATGGACACATGTTGGGCATAGAGTCATCACACTTGTGACACCTCAGTAAGTCTAAATTCCCATTCCCCATGGTCAGTGACATATATATATATATGTATATATTTTTGTATGTAGTATATGTGCACTTGTGCATGTGGGGGTGTGTGCCCATGCGTGTACATGTTGAAGCCAGAAGAGAACGTAGACTGTCTTCTATTGTTCTCTTATTTTTTAAATTTCTTTTAGATTTATCTTTATTATTTATGTGTATGTTTGTGTGTTTGTGTGGATGTATGTGCATATGTGTGTGCAGGTGCCCACAGAGGCCAGAATAGGACACTGGATCTCCTGGAGTCAGAGTTGGAGGCAGTTGTGAGCTTCCCTACAGGGGTACTTGGGAACCAAACTCAGGGACAGCTATTTGTAAGTGATCACAGCCCCTTAGGCAATCTGGTATCTGTCAACAAGAGATGCCATGAGAAACACACCCTGCCTGTCACCCACTTGCTGTTCCTTCTGGCATAATCTGCAATGTCACACACCTGTTTCTCAAAGGCAGTGGGGACCAAGCGTCGTAATTCAGAAAGGCTGCTGTTGATTCGGTCTCTGCGCCGTTTCTCTATGATCTAAAAAAAAAAAAAAAAGTTCCCTGTAGACATTTCATCACAGTTTCCAATGTGCCCTGATGGACACTGACTCACATTTTCCCTCATGATATTTTTTTTGACAGTATCTATTCTCCATTTATGGAGGAGGAATCTGAGGGCCCAGAGAATGAAAATGGTTTGTTTATAGTCACACAGTAAATGTGTAGAGCTGGAAGTAGAACTTGGCCTCTTGTGGTTTGTAGGAGATAGTCACCACAGGTAAAACAGGGCACTACCTGTCAGAATGGGGACACCCAGTTTCAGCACTGGAGTAGACCTAGGGTTCCTTCTGGGCCAGACTTAGCTCCCTAGTTGCTGGATTATGAGATTGTCTGAAGAATTTTAGGTCCTTTTCTCTCCAGTTGCAGCAGCCTTTGTTCACCCCCTCACAATTCTGGTAGCAGAATCCTGACAGCAGGATAGACGTTATGACCCATTATTTTTCAGAGATAGAACATGAGTTGGGGAAAACACGGCTTGCCTAAGAGCTGCTGGTGAGTGAGTGACTGGCTGATTCCTGCCAGATGCCCGGCCTCTGGGAAAGGGGGGGTGGGGTAAGACAGAGAACAGCAAACACTTCTGTACACCTCCCTCTCAGGGCACTGAGAGGAAAAGTTCTGAGTTCAAAGAGGAGACAGACAGGGTAGAAAGGGGTTTGTAACAGAAGCAATAATGCCCTGTTGTGTGTCTGGTGCTGCTCAGAGAACTTATGGGAATGCACTCAATCTTCAGAACAGCATGTATAAGGCCCTGGGCTCAATTCCCAGCACGGCATAAATACTCCAGGTATGGCATGCCTGTGATCTTAGCACTTCGGGAAGTGGAGACACAAGTGGAAACAGAAGAGTCAGGAGTTCGAGGTCATCTTCCAGTATTCAGTGCGTTTGAGGCAGCCTGGGTTACATTCAAAAACAACAAAACAAAACCAGTAACAACAAACCAGCTTTCTGAGGTGAGTGCTTCTCCTCACTCTGAGGAATACAGAAGGCACTGGGAGCATGCTCATCAGGATAGTAACAGAGCTTGGGTTTGAACCAGGCCAGTTGGCTAGGGTGATGGACAAGGCCCCCTGGGATTCAGTGCAAACCCTGATCGGGTCCCTCAAAGGCTGCAGTGCACTCACCCCTCTGCGCTTCTTCCTGGCTTGCATCTGTGAAGGGCTGGGGGTGGTCAGTGGCCTGGCCATCTGGCTGCAGAGAGAGAGGAAGGCTGGTTTCTCAGAGCTTAGGGATCAACTCCCTGGCCTAAGTTGACCTGGGAGGCCGGCTGGCAGCAGGCCGGAATAGGGTGGGGGTAAGGACTTGGGGCTGTTACAGTCTCCCAGGCCCAAAGGGCTGCATTAGTTGGGGGGAGGTCCCTTTCTGCCCGGGGGCCCATTTCTTCCAGGCCGAGCCCTCGGTGCTCTCCGGGCTTCCTGGCTTGTCCCCGACGCGCTCGCCTGGCCCCCGCCCCTCTGGGTGGCCGTCGGGAACCGCGATCCGAGATGCTCCTGCTTGGGTCTTGCAACCCGATCCCGGGGGTGGGCGGGCAGAGGGCGCGGGCCAGCGGCGGCCGGGTCGGGCCGGACGGGTTGAGTTTCAGAGAGAGCCGCTGGGAAGGAGCGTGGAAAGCGCAGATGCCGCCGCTTCCCACGGGCCGGAGCGCCGCCGCCCGCCCTCCGCCCTCCGCCCGCCCGGCCTGCAGCTGCCGCCTCCTCCCACGCGGCGCGGCCAGGGACAAGGGGGGAGGCAGCATCTGGGCCACAGGCCCCCCTCGCACGCTCAGGGACACTGCTCTGGCCTCCCAGGAGGCGCGGGTCTCTCACATCTTGGCTCTCCCTCCACCCGGGTCTTTCCACTGCAGCCATGGCTGGATGGTGAATGTTTGCTCCAACCCCAGAAGTTCCCATTATAAAGACTTAGGCCCAGGGGTTGCTTGCCCAGACTTTGACCAGAATAATCTCCACCCCAACTGCTTGCCCTCTGGATGGCTTTTTGCTCCAGCTGCACTCACTGGATAGCACCGAGGTACCTACCCTTGGTTTGGTCAGCACCTGAGACTCCCTATTCAGGCTCTGGCTGGTGCCCTCAGCTGCCCTTAATCCTACTCACCTCTGCAACTTTGGTGCCAAAATGTCATACATCTCAACCGGAGATCAGGAACTAGCCTCCCCCCATACCTGTTCCTTATCTACCTAGGTTCCCCATCTCAACGAAGGCCACCCCAGCTTCTAGTTCTGCAAGGCTGAACCTGGCACTGTCTTTGATCCCTCCTCTGTCCTCATCCCACCTTGTCAAAACTTACCTATTGCAGGTCTAGATAGTCTGCTATCCGTCTTCCTGATCTCCAAAGCCTTCTCAGGACCACACCTCTATCATCTCTCTTCTGCAGGCTTACAAGAGCCTTCCCTTGGGTCCCTCTGCACCCTCTTCTACTTCTACATTTAAATGCAAGATTGATCTTGCCACTCTTAAAACTCCTCAATGGCTTTTAAGATCCAAGACCCACCATCTTTCATTTGGTCCAGTTGAGCCCTGTCACCTCATTGATCCACTTGTCTTTGTTCTGCATGCACGTTCCAGTCTGTGAATGCACTAACTCCTTCCTACATTTGCACAGGGTGTTCAATAGTCTAGAAGTCTCTGGTCCACCCCATCTCTCTACCCCAAGTCTAGCAACTTCAACCATCCTTCAGTTTATAACCTCATATTTATATAATATATATATATATATATATAGTTATCGGCCTGCTAGATCTCCCCTGCTGTGTACTTTCCCATTGTCTTTTGACAGCTATGCAGTTATTTGAGTAATGTCTATTTCTCTTAACAGGTCCATGAGGCGTGAGGCAAGTCATTTCGCTCACTCTTGTAGCTTAAGTCCTCAGCAAGTACTTGAAACTGTGGCAGAGCTTGTGGCAGAGCTCCTTATCTTTAGCATCATGGAGAACACAGATGTGAGCATCATAAAATCGACAGCATCTTTGTGGAACAGGGGCATATGATCACCAGAAGTCAGCCCATGTGACTATCCTAGAGGTATCGGAGGTTGGATCCTTTTCATCAGCACCTCAGAGAGAAGGCTTCAGAAGGGACCAGAGAGCCTTTGCCTCAAGCGTGTTCCAACCACATGTGGAAAAGGGTATTTCTCATTCTCACATCTGGACAAACAGAGCTGGTGAAAGACCTATGAAAGCTCCTGGGAGGCAGGGTCCTGTGAGGCAGGTCCTGAGATCTTAGGGCAGCTTGTTTACAAAGCTTCCCTGGTTCACTGGGGATAAGCTCTGAGAGCCAAGGTACATAAGAAATACAGCCTTTGTTCCCCTCTCAGGATAAAGCCTCTCTCGGGGTATTGGATTAGCTTTGTGCACGTCACTGCCTCTCAGCCTGATCCCTCCTCAGGGACCATCTCTCAGAAGCTGACGCAGCACCCATTTCAGTGCTAGGCAGCTCCACTCTCTCTTTTCCCAGTCTCCCAGTCAGTTCCTCCCTGTTGCATGATCTGCTCCTTCCCCTAGATTTCCCAGGCAAATCTTACTTTACAGTTTGCTTGGCACTACTGCAAATATCTTTCTCCTTTGGGTCTTACGAAAGTCCATTTCCCAGATGAGGATGCTGAGCCTCAGAGAGCCAAAGCAGCTCGTCCAGCCCACACAGCTGCTAAGGAGTAGAGCCAGCATGGGAATCTACATCTTCTGGCTCCTAATTCAGCTTTGTTTTCCCTCTTAAGTCTGACTTCCTGTCTGTCTGAATAGTCCTCCAGTCCCCTTATCCTTAAGGCTCCCTGCCAGAGCTCACCACAATCTGGGATCTGGCCCTGACAGTGGGAGGAGGTCCGGGAGCATCTCCCCAGAGAGTCTGAAAAAGAAGACAGATTTTCATGACCCCAGAGAGGAGATGATGACCACCAAGATCTCCATGTGCCTCTGCAGGATGGCGGTAGCTTTCTCAATGGTCTGCCTGTCAGTCCTGAGCACCCTTGGCCCAGGCTCCACCTGGGAACTCCCCCTTATGAGACCTCAAGTAGATGACTCTACTCATTTACTATCAAGCAAAGGTAGCATTCCAATGCTCCAAATGATGGAATGTCAGAAAGCCCTGAGCCCATCTGTGAAATGAGAACACTCAGAGAGGGAAAGTGACCTTTGGCTGGCCACAGATCGAATCAGGAAAATCCAGAACCTGTGTTAACATCTGCCAGCTTCTAGTTTGGTGCTCTTGCCAATGTATCCCAAATATTCCTCATCCCATCATGCATCTCTCAAAGCCAGTACTTTCTGTTCTAGACAGCACTTCACATCCATTTGTCTCATTTATTGCACAATAGACCATAGGAAAAATGATCTTTGACAGACGCAAAGAGTTGAGGATCAGTCTTCAGATTTCTAGTTTTTCCATTAAACCGTGCTGCCTCATGCACATAGCACCCTCCCCACAATGTGACAGCAGCATTTATTGGAAGTTCCCTTTGCGAAAGCAAAAAGCTATGTGCTATTTGAACGTATAACCTCATCCAAGCTTCACCCTGGGAAGATATTTGCACATTCATTTTGTAAGAGAGAAAACTGAAGTTCAGAAAGGAATAAAGTCACTAACACAAGGAAATGGTGGGGAGACTCATGCTCAGGTCTGTCTGACTTCAAAGGCCACCATGTGCCTTAAATCATAAAGGAACAGCTTAGAGACCCTGACTTGGAATCAGGCATGTGGGAAGTGCTCATGAAATGTTGCAGAGGGGTATGGGAGAGGCTGTATTCTCTGTGAACCCAGCATGTGTCAGGGGGCCAGGTTCAGCCAGAAGCTCTGTGGGTGATTCCCACAAATAGAGTAGGATGCTACCGCTGAACAGATGCCCCTGATGACAACAGGACACACCCTGCCCTTTGCACTCACATCTCTGAGTGTGAGGGCTTAGTGCCCTGCTTCTGACCCCCACAGGCTGGCTGCCCCAGGCCTATGGCCCTTGTTACTGTTTCTCTGACTTTCTTTGTACATGAAGCTCTTCATCCCTGAGAGTTCCCTGAGGGCAGAGACTGAGTAGGATACATCTGGGTTCTGATGCCCAGCCCAGGGTCTAGACCACAGCAGGCGTTGTTCAGCAGTCCCTGAATCGAAGCATTTATGTCTGCTGGGGGGAGGGCCCTTTGGAAAGTGCTACAAAGAGGCGTCTATAAGTCAGTCTGCCAGATGTCCAGCTGCTTTCCCTCCTTGGAGGGGTCTGTTCTAGGAACAGTCTCTAACAATGGGCTCTGGCTAAAATGACTAAAGGATATAGAGGAAAAACCCAATGTGCTGACCCTTTATGTCTTGGCCCAGGGTTACTACTATTAGGAAGCCCTTACCACTATCCTTGGCTGGGAGTGGCTTCTCCCCACTTAGGTGCCCTCAGAGCCCACACTCTGATTCTTCTATCATAATCACAATCTTCGTGTCACCTGGCAGTCATTGCCCAGGCTGCATACTCATAGAAGACAGAAGCTAGCTCTGATCCAAGGATCTCTCTGCCTTCGATTTTGTGCTCTGGTCCTTAAAGACCCAATGACTGAATTTGAGAGTCCCTGTTCTCCATCACCACATAGTGCCAGGTCCTTCCTTGCTAGCAGGGGGAGGCTCTGACAACTATTTCTCTAAATAGTTATTATTTTCTATTTTATGAATATATTGCATACATGTGTGTAAGTGTAACCGTGTCCTGCAATGTCCGAGGAGGTCAGAAGAAGGCATTGGGGTCCCTGGAACTGGAGTTAGGGACAGTTGTTAGCTGCCATATGGGTGCTGGGAATTGAACCCGGGTCCTCTACAAGAGCAATTAATGCCTCTTTTTTTTTGGTCTTTTTGAGACAAGGTCTTCTTGTAGCCTCAGCTGACCTAGAACTTGCTATGTAGACCAGGCTGGCCTTGAACTCACAGAGATCCACCTACCTCTGCCTCCTTAGTGCTGGGATTAAAGGTATGTGCCACTATGTTGGCAAGTAGTCAGTGCTCTTAACTGCTGAGCCATCTCTCTAGCCCTTCTGCTAAGTAATTTTAAAGGGTTTACATAGGAAACTGTATTATACATCCCTATATCTAACCTGCAAGATTTAAGCAAGATTTGTTATAGACACTTTTTTTTTTGTCTTTTTGAGACAGGGTCTCCCTGTAGCCCCAGATGGCCTGGAACTCGCTATGTAGACCAGGCTGGTCTTGAAATCACAGAGATCCGCCTGCCTCTGCCTCCCAAGTGCTGGGACTAAAGGCGTGTGCCACCCACCTGGCTCTGTTATAGACAATTTTATAAATTACAAATAATTGGTAGCTAGTGAAAATTTACCAGAATCTCTTGCCTCTCTTCCTCTTTCTTATCTCTTTCCCTCCCCCCTCTCCCTCCTTTTCTCCCTCCTCCCTTCTCTTTCTTTCTTTTTTTAAAAATTAAAAAAATTATTTATTATTTTTATTTTATGTGTATGCATGTATTGCCCTGCATGTAGGTAAGTGCACCCGTGTCGTGCAATGCCTGTGAGGACAGAAAAGACTGTCTGATCCCCTGGAACTGGAGTTACATCCCCTGGAACTGGGGTTAAGAACAGTTGTTAGCTGCCATGTGGCTGTTGGGATTCAAACCCAGGTCTTCTGCAAGAACAGTCAGTGTTCTTATCTGCTGAGCTATCTCTCTAGCCTATTACTTCTTTTTAACTATGCATGGAAGCAGGGCATGGTGCCTCCCTCCCTCCCTCCCTTCCTTCCTTTCTTGCTGGACATTAAACCTCAGACCCTGTGGATGTTTGACAAGCAATCTACCGCTGAACGACATCCCCAGCTGCGATCTCTGATGGAGGCAAAATCTTCTAGTCCCAGAAAACCAAATGGCATCAGAATTATGAAATGCCTTCAAAAACATTGCCAAGAATTGCGCTGAAGCATGGCTCAGAGGTAGAGCACTTGCCTAGGGTTCAATCCCCAGAAGTGAACCCCTTCTTTTGGGGGAGAGGTGGTAGCAGGGTCTTGCTATGTAGCTCTGATTGGCCCTGAGCTGGATGAAGATCACCTCGTTTCTGCCTCCTCAGTCCTGGTCCTCCTTCTTTTCTAGAGACTGGGGT